ATAGTATTGGGTCTTCCGCTTCACTGGCAATGTCAGAAATTGTTGACCCGAGTCCCCTACAGCTCAACATAACATCATGGCTTTACTTCTTATACTTCGTTTTTATACTTTTCTGCTGGATGGTTAAGACCAAGGTAAAGCAGGACCTATGATAAGGTCAGTGAAATCCTCTCAGGATTTATCCTGAGATCCTGTACCTCAGATTGCAGAACCTTTGTCAGGGTCAGCCATGTGGATGAGTCTCAGCCATTGCTTGGCCAATGTGCTCTCTGTGAAAAAAATTAGGCTTTATTCCAGGGATAAACTTTGAACTTTGAAGATATTTTCCAGAACTGGTTCTTTTTTTGGTACTGGTAATTGAGCTTATGACCTCATGCTTGTACCTCTGAGCTATCTCCCCAGCACAGAACTGGTTCTTAGAACAAGTTTCCAATATTATTTTATCTCCTTCTTTTCCCCTACGGGCAGGCAGTGGTTAAGAGCAGCTAAAAATGAGGGCTTGGCAGGAGTGGCTGTTTCATGCTATTCATATCCAAGTGTCTTCTGACTTTGAGTTTCTCTAAAATGAGAAAATATTTTCCTGTTATTTTTTAAAGCTCTTTTTGCAGATTAATAAGATTTAATTTTGTAGCTAGTTACTGCTATTATGAAATTAAAGACTCATACAATAGTAACAGAACTACAGATATGATTCACAACACATGTGTTTTGTTTTTTCTTTTGGCAGAACCAGGGATTGAACTCAGGCCCTTACACTTGCCAGGCAAGTGCTATTCTACCAAGCCATCTCCCCAACCCCTACAGATACAGTTCAGCATGCACAAATTAATCAGTATTGGGGAGATGGCTCAGTGAAATAAGTGCTTCCCTGGCAAGCGCAAGGGCCTGAGTTCAATCCCTGGTTCCGGAAAAAAAAAAAAAAAAAAATTTACAGGGCTACAGGATAAATCCTGAGAGTACTTGGCTGACCTTATCAGATACAAAAGTTACAATTCTGGGTGTATAGGTCTTGCTATATCTTGGTCTTAACCATCCAGTAGAAAAGTATAAAAATGAGGTATATAAAGTAAATCCGTATTAATATGATGAGCTGTAAAAG